GGGGGGGGGGGGGGGGGGGGGGGGGAGGAGGAAGAAGGGGAGTGACATGAGGTGGAGAGGCGAGCCCCCTCCCACACTGGAACTGTGCAAAAACTAGGATACTGATATTACCCGGGCTCTATCTCCTGGCACTATCTTTCCTCTTGGTGTAAAAAATCAGGGAAAATAGCAAACCTGTTGTTAGCATCCGCAAGCCACTGGAAATGTTCACCGAGGCTCCACTGAGCGTCATTCCTTGCTTTCTCCAGATTGCGCAGCTCATCCTCTTTCTCCGATAATTGTTTTTGGAGAGCTGATACTGTTCCTTGCAGTGCACTAAAACTGGTCATTGAGCATAACTAGTGATGATAGTAACTCTAGTCAAAACCGTTCTTGTTAATAAATTAAATTTAGTTCTGAAAACTCTGATGCTATTAATATCCGATAAAACTAAAAATTTTTCTGTTGTTCTGTAATTTCATGAACAGATAAAATTGCAAAAGTTGTTTAAGGCATTTCTGTAAAAAGTATTCTTCACAACAGTTATGTATAAATGCTAATGTGCAGATTACGGTCGTAAGAACTGGTACAACTGCGCCCAGCGTTTGAGAAAAATTCCACTAAAATCATCGAAATACTCACACTGGTTTGATATTCTTGTGAAGTCAAACTTTATCAGCATACCACATTTTGCGTTCTGATTAAAGTTTATGCATTTCCCGTATCGTCATGTTTTTTTTCTCTCATTTTATTAAATTTTAGATTATAAAATTCAATGATGCTTGTACAGTGAATGCTCACTGCCACTGCCTTAATGTATTTTTGAATAATTTCTTGACAACAGCTTGTAAAAAAGACTACATTTGGCAAGTTCTCGAAGACAAAGAGCAGATTCTTTTTGGTGGTATTGAGGCAACAGTAAAGGAATGATACTTGTGAGAAGCTGAGACATTTTTTATGAAATGCATATCTGAATGAGTACTATCTCAATAATCGCGAAACTCCAGTGCGAAAGTCCCAATCGTTTCAGTAAATCATTAGCTTTTCATCTGACAACAGGATCCAAGCATGGCTTACTTCATATCTGATATAAGTCTTTCATTTTCCTTGCGTAGAACATCAACCTGCTTCCGATCCTCTTCCATTCTATTCTTTAACTGCTGCATCCTGAAATACCGGTCTTTTATACGGAGTTAAGGTTTTTAGAAGAATTTTCAAATGAACGGTGCAAAGAATTCAATGGCTTTCTGCCGTAACTCATTACAGCACTAAAGTAAAAGTGCCAAAGTAAATGCTTTAAGCCTTTTGAATGTTCGTAGTAACCTAGCCGATAAAAAAAAATCTGCGCAATCTGGACTAGCTAGAGTTAAATAAAATCTGAATCCTCAAATTTCCACGGAAAAATATTTTCCCAAAAGCTTGGATTTTCAGTGCTAAAGAAAATCTTGACAAATTAGTAATGAATTTTAACTTCATCTTCGACACAACACTCAATATTCCATAGTGGTATGCGAAAACCAGGCTATAATTTAATGAACCCAAACATTTCCGCTCGTCTAATTTTTTAGTAGATATTTATACATTTATGCACATCATAATTAATATTTCTATTATGCCTGCTTCGTTCCTCTTGAACTTCTGAAGCTACAGCCATGAAAATTTATCATTGTTATGTGGCTGAAAGCAATAAAATTTCACGCAGCAAGACTTTGTTTAAATATTTCTTAAAGATACTCTGCATTATCGAGTTCCGCTGCTTCAGGCATCAAGCTGTCATAGTGATTTAGTTTCTCCATCTCGTCTTCTACATTCACCTGAAATATGTCCTAATTGAGTACTTTTTTTCGCACACTTCCAAGTTTTGACTGATTACTGAATTAAATATGGGTTTTGGGCGTAAAAATTTCAAGCAATCGTGATCAAAATGACTTAGCTTATAAAACGGCTTCTTTCCCTCAACACCGCTGAAATCGCTTGCTCTTTTGCCCACACACTGCAGCTAACAAACTGCGCAGGGCAGTCTAACTCAGAAATAACTGTTAAGCTGATAAAGGTGCGCAAACTTATTTTATACTGTCATTCATAGTACTAAGGTTTTCATTACCAACCCTCGCCTGCACAACGCAGACATTCCAATTTGGAATGATTACTTCTTGGTTGAGTCTCCATGGCCCTTTCTACCCTTCCTATTTCTTTTCAAAATACTACC